TCATAACAACAGCTGTCCTGGAGAGGCTGGCCTGCCCACAAGCCCTGCGAGTGTTAATAGGATAAGAGGCTGTGCTTCTCCTCCTCCTCCTCTATCCGGCTGGCTTCAGCACATTAGTGTCTAGGGGTTCTAATGCTCTGCCAGGAAATCCAGACAGGCCAAACATTGCAATGGCAGAGGCTCCTCTGCCTCAGATACAGCTCCGGCTGCCTTCTCAGGCTGACTAGCCCAGAATGGTGGAACTCCATCATCACCAGCTTGTTTAGCCCCTTGGTTTGCTTGTCTCCAAACCCTGGCTGGGGTCACATGAGCTGAGATTTTTGGGTCTCAAATTGGTATTCCACACTGGGGGGGTTATCAGTGTCACAGGCTGCGAGTCTGGACCCTGGAGAGGCTGAGGGGTAGAGCAACGGAGCAGGGAGGGTGGCATGGAAGGTATGAGGAATTACCTGTGTTGTACAAAGGCTGATTCTTCCTAGGTCTGGTTAGCACACGTGCCCAAAGGCTGTCCGTGCAATGGACTCCAATGCAGAATCCTCTGTACCAAGAATAGAGCTCCAAGAATAGAGCTCCTACAACCAAGTAGGTCGTTATGCTGGCAGCTTTCCAAATAGACCCAAGCCATTCTGGTAGGGGTGGGAATGCATCTCCAGCCCTGTTTGGTGGGTTTGCCTTCCAACTAGGGCTATTTTGGGAAGTCAGTGAGAACACAGTGGATGCAGATGTGGGTGGGCCATGGCTTGACGACAGCTCTGCTGCTTGGGAACAATGGTGACTGTACCCAATGGAGAGAGCAGCTCTGCTCATGCCCTGTATTGTCTCCAGCTGCCACCAGCTGCAGAGGAACGAGGCTCACGTGGTCGGGTGATTGGAGCGGGGAGGGCCCTGGCACCGAGATTGGGTGACTGAAGCTCGGATGTGGTTGGCACAAAAAGAAGCCAACTTGAGCAGAATGCGTCTGTGGGTTATAGAGTCACTGTGTATAAAATAAGTAAAGAACAATGGCTTGGCTCATGATTTAAGGCTTTTCCCTGCATTCATGAATTTCTGGGGGGCGCAGCACCTTGGATAGTCACAGGGCTTGGGATTGTCTGATCTAGTAGCCATTCCCAAGCACAACAAATCATCTGAGTTTAGCATAGTTGCCATCACAGGTACAGGAGGATGGATGGCCATTAAAACCTTAAGGCAACAGCATCATTTGGCATAAATCAGCATTGCTCACCCTGGAGCTACAGTGGATTACAGCCACTGAGGTGCTGGGTTAATATTTCCTGTGCTAATGTTCCCCTTGCTTAGAATGGCACAGGCTTTGTATACACATGGCAACGGACCAGCATAGTCATTCTGAAATAGCTAGTCTAGTGTGGTTATCGGAGACATAGCGAGCTCCTTCGGTGCCCTGAGCGGCATGGGGTGAGAGGGTGTGGAGAAAGGGGGCCAGAAGCATACCTGCTAGGATTTGTGCTTGGGCAGCTACAGGCTCCAGCTGGTGTCCAAGATGCAGGGGGTAGAGCCAGGTGATCTTGAGGGTCCCGGCAGCTACTAGGAAGAAAGTGTCCCCCTAGGTAAGGAGTTAAGCCTCTTTCTGGCCTCCCTGCAGGCACTTCTGAATGCCATGCTGGGTGAAGATCTAACACTTCAAATTTGGTGATGAGGGAGGGAGGAGTACCCCCCTGTCCTCACCCTTTGGTTTTTTTTCTGAGCTCATAGCTAAAAGGACCCTAGAGCTTCCCTGCCTGGCTCACTCCCACACCCAAGCTTATAGCTGCTGGAGTAACAAC